GACACACTAAACGGACCACCTCGCACACCCACCAGACGTATTGGACATCAGCATCCATAACGACGAGTGCTGCCAGATCACACAACAGGTACTAGACGACGAGCTGCAGTCGGATCATCAACCCGTGCTCGTCGTCCTATCCGAGACACCTGCGAGGACCGTCCCTCCCGCGCCACGTCAGAAAACGGACTGGAACACCTTCAGGGAGACGCTGGAGACCACAACACCAACTCGGCCGATCAACTCCGCAGCCGATGTAGAAGGACTAGCAGCCGAACTACGGGATAGCATAAGAGGCGCCCTCGAGTCGGCTAGAAGACCCAGCACACACACCCAGGGGCGCCTGTCACCCCTGCCGGCTCACCTGAGGTCGCTGATAGCCGACAAACGGCGCCTCCGCAGACAGTGGCAGTACTCGCGCTGCCCCACGATGAAGACACACCTGAACCGGCTTGTGGAGAGAGTGAAAACCGAGTTGCGCACTCACACCACCGAGAGCTGGGACAGATACATAGAGGAGATCACCGACGAGTGGCCCTCCGTACACCGCCTATGCCGCCGCCTCACGAACACCCCAGCTCCGGTGCGCCCACTACTACACGCAGACGGGGCCCCCAAGTACCGAGCAGCAGACCGGGCCGAGATCTTCGCAGAGCACCTCGAACGCCAGTTCAGACCGAACCCGACCGCGGACGGGGCGCACACCGAAACAGTCGAGAAACACCTTCGAGAGTACTTCGCTACGCCGATAGCTCCCGAAGAGGATCCCATATTCTTCTCCCCGGCAGCGGTCAGGACCGCCATACGCCGTACCAAGTCTAGAAAGGCCCCAGGCGCAGACGGTATTACCAACACAGCGCTGCGCCACCTGCCACACAAGACAGTGGCCGCGTTGGCGCGCCTGTTAAGCGGCGTTAGGCGCACAGGACACTTCCCCGACGCCTGGAAAGAGGGGCGTATCATCCTGCTTCCGAAACCGGGGAAGAACTCCTGTTACGCCACCTTACACCCCATATTACCCCCAGACCGGAACAACACGAATTTCGGTCTGAACATAGCACCACACTGCAGCTCTCGAGAGTACTGCACGGGATCACGGCGGCGCGTAATAAGCGCGAAGACGCCGTTGCAGTGCTCCTCGATATGGAGAAGGCGTTCGATCGTGTCTGGCACGCCGGGCTGCTCTACAAACTGTCGACGTCACCGACGCCCCAGCGAGTAGTAGAAGTGGTCTCCTCCTTCCTGCCACACCGGACATTCCGAGTGGTGGTGGAGGGGGAGCTATCTGCCCCCCGCGCCGTGGAAGCCGGCGTCCCCCAAGGGAGCTGCCTATCGCCTGTGTTATACACGCGATACACCGACGACATACCTACGACCGAGGGGGACGTATTAGCGCTGTACGCCGACGACGCGGCGTACATAACAACGAGCCTAAACATTGACCACGCCGCGATCAAAATGCAGCGCACCTTAGACCTTCTGCCCCCCTGGCTGTCGCAATGGCGACTGTCGGTAAACGTGGGAAAGACACAGGCGATAGCTTTCACCCAAACCCGGAAGCTCCCACCACCACTCCAACTACAGGACGAACAAATCCCGTGGAGGAGCACAGTGTCGTACCTAGGCATCACCATAGACCGCCGTCTCACTATGGCATCACACGTCCGTAGCACGGTCGCGCGAGTAAGGGCAACCCGCGCCCTACTACGTCCAGTGTTCTCGTCTCGCCTCCCTCTGCGAACAAAACTGAGTGTGTACAAAATATATGTACGCACTCAGCTCACTTACGCCGCCCCATCATGGTTCGCCCTCACGAGCGAGTCGAGCCGCCGCCTGTTGCGCGCACAACAGTCGCTGGCACTGCGTGACGTAACGCAGGCTCCTCGCTACGTGAGAAATGATGTCATCCAGAGGGACGGGACCTCAAGATTGAGAGCCTGGACGCCCACATACGCCGTCTCACCGTCGCGATGTTCGAGCGTGCGACGCGTCCTCCTGGGAACACATCCGGGACTTGGCGCCTTGGCACGCTCGACCACCCGACAAAAAGAAGTTCCCGCGCGACCTCCTTACGGACGATCCCGACAAAGATGGTGGTCCCCTCTCGGGTACAGACACCGTCCCATAAACAACCCATTAAGGGCCCCGCGGCGCCGCATAGGAAGCCCCCATGGGCGGCCAAACGCAACAAAACTGTAAAAATTACATTGTTACAGTGTTGCTGCGGCCACCCCCGGCCCGCAAGCACCTGCGCCTACTTGGCACAAGTAGGTACATCGTGTGGGGGCGGCGATGACCGCCGCAACAATGGAATGAAGACAGCGCCCCGCAGACCGCACAGCGGTGCGAGGCGCCACTCCCGGACTAGACACCAGAGGGGTTACACGTAAGTCGCCGCCTCTGTCGCTGGTCGCCCGGAGCTGGGCCTCCCCAGGCATCGCCTGGGGTCTCACCTGGCTCGGGCTTGACCGCCGGGGCGGCGTGAAGACTGAAGTAACCCCTCCACAACGCAACGGACCACCACAAACAAAGCCCACGACCTACCCCTATTCAGGGGTAGCGGTAGAAATCGCTGGCAGGGGGCCGAATCCCCGAACCAGCCACCACACGCCCCCTACGGGGCGTTGTGAAAACCAGCAGATCGCGCATTCTCCGGATTCGCTACGCGCTCACCGAGAACGGACGTCCCACCATACGTACATCGCTCGACTCGCCGCACGGATCAACAAAAACACATCGCACCGCGCGGGATAAGTGTCGCTGACCCAGTCTGCGACGCTTGTACCGCACGGGGCGATCTTCAAAGAAGAAGAAGAAAGAAGACTCGGCCACTAAGGCCGTGTGATCGCGGCTGCACGCGCGTCCCCGAGAAGTTGGACAGGAATCTCAGTGCTAACGTAATAGCGGGTCGACCGCCACCCTAACGGTTGTTAAGAACTCTGAGGTTTTTGTCCAACTACGACCAACTACGGCCACGACAAACGGCCCCCCTACCGACCTCTCGCGCCTCACACCGCGAAGAAAGGAGGTCGGAATCGG